AGCGGGAGACCTTCGGGGATCGCGACGACGAGCACCGTGATACCGATGATGAAGAAGCCGAGGTAGTCCGAGAGGTAGTCGTTGCTCCACGGCTTGCCGTCGGGCCCCGCAAAGGTTTCGATCGAGAAGCGGATGACAAGCGCAAAGAAGACAATGAGGGCGGTCGCAAGACCGAGCTTCCCGATGAGCATGGTCAGCTGGTCCAACTTCCCTTGCAGCGGCGAGACTACCACATCTTCATCATGGTGCGCGGGCTCGCTGGGGGTCGATTTCTCACCAATGAGCGGCGTCTTCTCCGTGGGGGGGCCTGACGGACTCGGGGGCTTGGCGCCCGACGAGGTGGACTTGCCCATGATGAGCTTGGAGATGATACCGGCCTGAGAGGACTCGCCAACACAGAGCACGAGCATCTTGCCGACGCCTTCCATGACCTTGGTGCCCGAGAGCAGAAACGGAGCTTCCGTCGGGCTCTTTCGGAGGAGGAGCGACTCGCCCGTCATCGCACTCTCGTCGAGCTTGAGGTCGCTCTCGTCAAAGACGAGACCGTCGGCCGGGATGATGTCACCGAGGTCGACGCGGACAATGTCACCAACCACCAAGCTAAACTTGCTGACCTCGGCCGGCACGCCGTTGCGGATGACCTTGATCTTCTCGTCTTCCTTGACCGCGTTCAAAGCGCGGAACTGCTTCTCCTTTTGGTAGTCGTTGACGGCCGTGACCGTGGTGACGATGAGCACCGCAAGCATGATGGACGCGCCTTCGATCCACGCCGTGTTGGGCTCGCCCTCCTTGGGCTTCTCGACCGTAAGGCCCAGCACGATCGAGATCAAGCCCGAGACCGTCAGCACAATGATCGTCAAGTCCTACACCGCGAAGACGCTGAGCCATGCACACATACATGATCGTCTACCTGGAACGCGTTCCACATGAGCTCGAAGAGCGTGTTGGGCTCCTCGGGCTCGATGAAGTTCTTGCCAAACTTGGCCTCGCGCGTCGCGAGGTCGGCCGTGTCGCCGCCATCGAGGCCGTTGCCGAGGTCGACGCCCAGGGCCTTGGCCACGCCGGCCACGCCGCCGAGCGAGGAGACCGCGGCCACGGCCCGCTCCTTGGGCGTCTCGACGAGCCGGATCAAGTCGCCAGTGAGCAATGCCATTCAACCCGGAAATTCGCAAATGCCATGGCCGCGCGATCCGGTCGCCATCGCACGTATTGTATTACTTACAAACACCAAGTTAGAATAAAACATTGATCATTTTATGATGGATACACTCGGGAACGTGGATACGGTGCCTAATTAGGAAGCCTCGAATCTAGGGTCGTGGGTGTCCCAGGCAGCTGGCCACCGGCGAGGAATTCAGCACCGGCGACGCTAGTACGCCGACGACCAGCCGACGACCAAGCCTCCACGAGGGTGCAACTGCGATGCCCATCGATGCGACTGCCTCCTCTTGCTGCATAGCCATGGCGCCATCGCTGCACCGACGTGCCACCTGCCACGTGGGCGGGCAGCGTCGCTGGATTGTGAGCGCACATTGACCTGCGTCGAGCGTGGCGTCGGTACAGCGTCATGCTTCGTCAAGGCAGCTGCCGCGCAAGCGTAAGCTACTACTCGAGCCCACTCGCGCCGCTCGTCTCGGCGCGTCGGACGTGCTCGTACCGAGCGGTGACGCTCTCCCGGCGGCGTCTGCCTCCTCGCATGTTGGGATCCATATCTTCTCTACAGCCCACTGTTAGCAACGCTGGCCCTGGATGCTGCGTCCCACGCATTGCTCTAGATTCTGCAGGTCTCCCACATGACCACGAGCCGCATTTCGCGCACGATTGCCAGATGCACAAAGCGAGCTTGACAACGTCATCTTGCGCGAGCGGGTTGCTTGCTCTTGCTGCGTGGACCGAAGACAATATTGATACGACAAGACGTGTAGATATTAGAGGTGTCGATATATAGATACTGGTGCTTAGACAGACTTGACGTCCGTGATCAGCCGACGCTGGGCGACCGAGCGCTTGAAGGCGTTGATGACGCGGATCTGCGCGCGGAGACGGGCAAAGCCGCGCACCCAGAGCTCCTTGCCACGCGCCGAGGGCACATGCACGGGCTCTTCGTCCGAGCAACTCGAGAAGAACTTTGGCATGTGCTTGGCGTGTACCGAGCGCAGAAGAAGCCCCACGGGCAGCGAGAGCGCGCCAATGCCGAGGCAGATGAACCACTGGCCGACCGAGAGCGCTTTGCACTTGAAGACGAGGCCGCCAAACTGCACGATGAGCACTTGGAGCACGACCTGGATGACTTGGACGCCAAGATAGAGCTTGTTCTGGAAGAAGCCGTCAAAGACGTTGAGCTCGTCGTGGATGCGGCGGGCGTTGATCTCGTTGAAGAGCTGGAGGAACACGAACGTGTTGAAGATGATCGTGTAGTGCTCGGTCGGGTCGTTGGGGAACGCCGTCTTCTCACGGTCCGCCTTGAAGCCAGCAGGGACGTTGACGATCGACGGCACAAACGTGAGCAAGAGAAGCACGACGAGCTGGAAGACGCCCTGGCCGACAATGTGCTTGGTCATCTTGCGCGAAATGAGCGCTTTCGTGCGCGGGTACGGCTTGCGCTCGAGCAGCGCGTCGGTCGGCGAGTCGGTCGCCAGCGCCAGCGACGCAAACGTGTCCATGATGAGGTTGACCCAGAGCAGCTGGATGGCCGAGAGCGGCGACTCTTCCAGCGCAATGGCACCAATGATAGCGATCGTGATCGCCACCAAGTTGACCGTGAGCTGGAACTGGAGAAACTTGGAGATCGAGTCGTACACGTTGCGACCCCACTTGACTGCGTTCACAATCGACTTGAAGTTGTCGTCCATCAAGATGATATCGGACGCGTCCTTGGCGACCGCCGTGCCGCAAATGCCCATCGCAAAACCGACGTCCGCCTTCTTGAGCGCCGGCGCGTCGTTGGTGCCGTCGCCCGTCACCGCCACGACCTGCGGACCGTGCGGGTACACGTTGGACGCAATCAGACCCGACACGAGCGTGTACTTGTCCTTCGGGCTCGACCGCGCGAGCACGCGGAGCATGGGCCAGATCTTGTCAAACTCGCTCTGGATGATGTTGCCGTTCGAGTCCAAGACGCGGCGACGGAACTCGGTGCCTTCCATGACCAGCGACCCGTCGTTGGGCGAGAGGATACCGCACTTGAGCGCAATCGACTTGGCCGTCGCAATGTTGTCGCCGGTCACCATGCGCACGACGATGCCGGCGTCGTTGCACTGGCGGATCGCGCCCGGCACTTCGTCGCGGACCGGGTCTTCGATGCCGACAATGGCCACACACGTGAGGTCGCGCTCAATCTCGTCGTCCGACCAGCTCTTGATGTCGTCCATCGACGCGTCAATGTCACGGTACGCCAGGCAGAGCGTCCGGTACGCCTGGCCAGCGTACTTTTCAATCACGTTGCTCAGAATGTGGCTCTTCATGTGACTCTCCATCGGGATCGTCGAGCCGTCGAGGCGCTGCTGCGACGTGCAGAGCTCCAGCACAATCTCACTCGCGCCCTTGGTGAACACACGGCACGTCGTCGCCGAGACGCGGACGACCACCGACATGCGCTTCTTGGCCGAGCTGAACGTAATCATGTGGCCAATCTCACCGCCCTTGCGCACGTCGGCGTAGGCGACACCCATGTCGGCGGCAAACTGGAGGAGCGCGCACTCGGTCTTGTTGCCCGTGTGCTCGGGCTTGCCGCCTTCTTTGAGCGGCGGGAGGATCTCGGCCGTCGAGTTGAGGCAGATGCCGTCGCAGAGGGCCGCCATGGCGACCGGCGACAAGGCAACGCCGAGGTCGGCCGAGGACGAGAATTCGGTGCCGCCGACGTAGCTCTCGACGACCGTCATGCGGTTGGTCGTGAGCGTCCCCGTCTTGTCCGAGCAAATCGTAGTCGCCGACCCCATGGTCTCGCACGCGTCGAGGTGGCGCACGAGGTTGTTGTCCAAGAGCATCTTCTTGACAGAGAAGGCGAGCGCAATGGTCACAGCAAGCGGGAGACCTTCGGGGATCGCGACGACGAGCACCGTGATACCGATGATGAAGAAGCCGAGGTAGTCCGAGAGGAATTCCTTGGTCCACTCCTTGTCGTCGATCGCAAACGTCTGGATGGAGAAGCGCGCGACGAGCCCGACAAACACAATGATGGCAGCCGCGAGACCGAGCTTGCCGATGAGGATCGTGAGGCGGTCGAGCTTGCCCTGGAGCGGCGAGACCGGACCGTCGTCGTCGTCGTCGTCGTCGTCCTTGGTACTCGGCGCCTTGGCCTCGAGCATCGCATCGTCCGTGTTGTTGGGCGTCACGACCGAGACGTAGTTGTCTTCGGCAGCCTCGTCGGCCGTGTGCGTCGGCTTGGAGCCCTTGCCCATGATGAGCTTGGAGATGATACCGGCCTGGGACGACTCGCCAACACAGAGCACGAGCATCTTGCCGACGCCTTCCATGACCTTGGTACCCGAGAGCAGAAACGGAGCTTCCGTGCGGTTCTTGCGGAGGAGAATCGACTCGCCCGTCATCGCACTCTCGTCGATCTTGAGGTCGTTCTCGTCAAAGACAAGGCCGTCCGCGGGCAGAATGTCCCCGAGGTCGACGCGGACGATATCGCCGACGAGGAGGTTGAACTTGCTGACCTCGGCCGGCACGCCGTTGCGGATGACCTTGATCTTCTCGTCCTCCTTGACCGCGTTCAGAGCGCGGAACTGCTTCTCCTTTTGGTAGTCGTTGACGGCCGTCACGAGCGTCACAATGAGGACAGCGAACAGAATCGAGACGCCTTCGATCCACGCCGTGTTGGGCTCGTCATCGCCGCCGCTCTTGACGGTGCCGTTCTTGGGCACGGACGAGTGGTGCGGCGCGACGAGGCCAAGAACGAGTGAGAAGACGCCGGCGACGCTCAGAATGATAATCGTCAAGTCCTGGAACGCCTGCCACATGAGCTGCAGGATCGTGCTCGGCTTCTCGGGCTCAATGTAGTTCTTGCCGTACGTCGCTTCGCGCTGGGCGAGGTCGGCCGCGTTCGAGCTGTCGAGGCCACCGTCGAGCGCGACGCCCAGCGACGACGCGACGCCTTCGACGCCACCGAGCGCTGCAAGCGCCTCGGCCGCGCGCTCCTTGGGCGTCTCGACGAGCCGGATGAGGTCGCCAGTGAGCAACTTCATGAAAGGGAGCAGTCAAGTTGCAGAATGGGAAGCTTCCGGAGGAGACCGATCGCCGCGCCAGTCGCTTGACCGCCAAGATACAAAGGGAATCAGATTGGGCAGTTGTTGAAGGCCGAGTTACAAATTATTTTGACTGCCACGTGGTTTCGGCGCCGATGTGTACACGCCGGCGAAACCGCTGGTCCTTCGACTAGTGCTCCCGATAAACTAACTAGAGCCCACAAGAGGCACGGATGTTAGTTTAGCCAAGCCCGATGGCGATGGAACGGATGCTGATCACGTGGCAGCGGGCGTTTGCCCTATTGTAGAGTACGCTCTGGGAATCTCGGCGGAAAAGACACGACCGTCGTCGGTGCACGGCCTATACGCTGCTTCCTTGTATGCCTGTATAGAGTACTAGTAATGTGAACGGACTGCAGCTGTCTCTGGCAACGTCGTAGCAACCACTCGTCTTTAGTTCAAGCTCGAAGCTATTACTCCGGCAGAAGCAGTGCCCGGCGAGGTTCACAGCGTGCAGTCCCCAGCATCTCAAGCTCGCGTGCATGTGGAGGGAATCTTGACGCGTGGGTGGGTGTTGCTATCGTGGAGAGAGACCTGCATGTATGTACCCACTTCCATCGTGAGTACGACGCTTCTTCCGGAAGGTCCGAGGAAGACGAGCAGTGCCACGTTGCACTTGGCCGAAGAGGATGGGTGCCAAAATAATTGGGTCGCTGGCTCTGCTTCCCCGCTCCCAGCCCCAAACGCTCACCCTCCAACGCTAAGAGTTCATGGTTGAAACGAGGATTTTGGTGCTCTATACCCATACGATGTCGTCAAGATCGTCGAGATCGGATGCGCAGGCGAGGACGGCGTCGAGGCTCGCTACGCTGGCAATCTCGCCCCGCAGCACATAGTCGAAGAGCGTCTTGCGAGTGTAGTGGTGCGGCGTCCAGGTGATGAGCCGCAGCGCAGCGTCGCGCCAAAATACTCGCGTCGACGGTGTCACAGAGGCGGCGACACGCGCCGGGAGCAGCTCCAAGAGGTCAGCGACGTGCGCCGCGGGTGCATCCAGGTTGAAGGCGGCCCCCGGCTCGACCGCATGCGCGCTCGTCGCTGCGACGGAGCCACTCTCAAATATATTCGTAATGGCCGCTGTTCCGACGATGGCTCGGCTGGCGTCGATGCAAGTGTGGCCGGTCGCAGGCACCCCGTGGCGTGCACAGGCGCGCACCCACCCAGTCACATTGCAACCGGCTAGCACAACCGAGCGCGCGTACATCGGCGCCTCGAGCCATGTCGCGAGCGACCGCTGGAGACGCAGCATGGCGCCATGGACTGCATCATCAGCGCGAACCTCGTAGCGCGTCATGTGCTCCGTGACGACGCGTCCCGAGTACGTGTCGAGCAGCTGCAAACGTACGTCGGTCGCAACGTCGTTGGGGTCCTATTACACGCACATATATATTTGCGTGCTTCTTGTACTCGGCCTACCGAGGGAAGACCTTCCACGACGGCAACGAGGTCGACGGGTGGCAGGCTGCGGAACGGGTGCTGGGTCCACGGGCAGGGGAGGGCGCTGGTCACACCATCGAGGATGCGGCGCGCGAGAGTTCCGTGAGCTACTTTGTAGAGAGCGAGGTCCGTCTCTTCTACCCAAATGATGGACGCACGGTACCAGGTGCAGCGATCGACGACACGTCCACGGCTTGCAGGAGCAAGAGAAGGGCGTAGGGATCGTCACAGTCTCCCAAGACGACGGGCGACGAGACGACCGTCACGACCGCCTCGAGCGGTAGCTCGCGCCGCACCCACGTGTACAATGCGTGCCAGTCGCTACCCGGCGCCTCGAACCGCTGCAGCACGACGCGCCTATCTCGGTCGAGAAGCGCTGCGTTGGCCACCGAGACGCCGTTATCGCCGCCCGTTGTCATCGTCAGTGCCAGGCAATAGCGCCAGGTATCGTCATCGTCGTCGCTCGTCGTCGTCGTCTCGCCAAGGGTTTGCAGCACCGCGTGGACGTTGGCAAGCGTCATACCTAAGTGCGTAGGAAGATACTGTCTGAGATCTGAGCGCCCATGTCGGTGGCTTGGGTGCTGCACCCGACGATATCAGACGACGCGAGTAGCGTTACCTTTCGTGGGGTCGGTGCGCACAAAGTGGTGAGCCGGCAGGGCCAGCGGCAGGTCGTCGATCGCCACCCAGTGCGATGGCGGCGACGGCATGGCCGCGAGGTACGCTGCGATTTCGTCGACGCGAGTCGCGCCCATCGGCAAGCGCGGCGTGACGCCCAGAACGCGCTGCAGCGGCACGTGCGCGGCCGCCAACGCGTGCCAGAGCATTACCAACTGCTTCGGATGCGCTCGCCACGTACTCGAGAGGACGAGCCGCGCGTCGCTGCTCGCCAAGAGACGCGAAATGCGGCGGACAAGCGTCGCTTCGAGGAGGCACGGACCGTCGACGCGGTTCAGCACGCCATCCACGTCCAAGAAGATGACCGACGTCATGCAATTGTGACGTGATTGGTGCAGACACACTAGCGACGATCATCACTCTGTCGTCAGGTCCAGGCAGACGCTCGAGCTGTCCTCAGTCCGCAGCACCACTCGCCAAGGAATGTCGGCCTTGATGAAGAAGACCTGCATTCCAGCGCCTCCCTCGTCCTCGTCGCATGGCCATGGACAAAGACACGGTCGCCTCCTCTCTCGCACCTGCAGACAGCTATATATTCGATTGTCTTCCTACGCCTAGCCCACCATGTTTTCGACGCCATCGTAGCAGTATGGCCTATTGGGCGCTGCAGCATGGTCCGTGTCCATGACGCCACCTCGTCCTCAAAGGCTGCGTGGCTCGTTGAAGACGAAGACGCGCGCTTGGCAACTATCATCCGGGACAAATTATCACCCTTTTTGCGCTCTATTTACGTCGCCTTTGTGCCTCTTCATTTAATGCCATTTGCATACAAATGATACGTTATGAGACAACGCTTGTTTAATAATCAAGTGTCGACACAGTTTGAAATTGAGTCGATTGAAGGGTGACGCTGAGGTGCATACAAACAGCAAGTGGTTTTATTATTTTGCGACAGCGTCGTGTATTAAAATAGTGTGCCTTCGAACCATCGTAATATTATAATACAAACTGGAGATTTGTATGGAATAAAATACAGAGTGACGTGGAATACTGATGCGCCGAGGAATATTAAAATGGAAGGATTTGATCCCGCCGCCGGTTGTCGGCCAGAAGCGAAATCGCCCATTTTCGAGCAGCCAACAGCATGTGGATGCAGCAGTCGATGGAAGGTGGCCGGAACCACCAGCAAGGCGGCGGTGGCTACGGCGGCAGCAGCTCGAGCAGCTTTGGCCGCCCCAAGCAGGACGACGCCGACTGGAAGAGCCGCATCGTCGGAAGCGGCCAATGGCTCGGCGAAAAGGTCATGTCGCTCGCGACGGGCAGCTCGACGAACGACAACAACTCGGGCATGCGCTCGTACAACGACGGCCGCGCCAACTGGATGGCCGAGATCCGCAGCAACACGGGCTCCAACCAAGGCTACAACGGCGGCGGCTATAACGGCGGCGGCGGCTACAACGCCGGCGGCTATCAGAACGACTTTGCCACAGAGCGTCCTGGCTCGTACGCCGACAGCCGACCGTACAGCAGCAACCACAACAGCAGCAACAGCACAGCACCGTACTCGGACTCGAACTATCGGTCCCAGATGCAGTCGTACTCGTACGACAACAAGTCGTCGTCGTCCAAGAAGAAGTCGAGCAACAACAAGAAGCACCGCAAGAAGGCCAAGGAATCGAGCTCGAGCGATGACAGCTCGGACGACAGTTCTGCGTCCTCCGATGCGTCGTCCGCCTCATCCAGCGACGCCAAAGTCAAGTCCAAGAAGCCGGCCTTGAAGAAGAAGCCTTCAAAGCGCGTGGAAGTCGTCGTGTCCGATGGCGAATCCACAGAGTCGGCGCCGGAGACCAAGTCGTCCAAGAAGACCAAGGCCAAGCGCGCCAGTGTCAAGTCGAAGGCGTCGAGCAGCAACAACTATGCGTACTCGCTCGACACGTCCAAGGTCGCCGCCGCCGCGTCGGAGGAGCCCATCAAAGGCAAAAAAGCGGGCAAGAAGAACAAGAAGACAGACGCCGCGCCGGTGGTGGACCTCCTCGGCGTCGAGTCGCTCTCGATCTCGAGCGCGCCCTCATCGACGGCATTCGCACCGGCCGCCCCCGCCTCGACGATTGACCGTACGTCATTGACCCACGCGGGCGAGACCTCTCATACCTTATTGTAGAACTTGCTGGCCTTTCGTTCGACATGCCCGCACAGCCCATTGAGCCGTCGTTCCTCGGCCACCAACAACCTCTTACTGGCCACCAACAAGCTCTTATGGGTCACCAGCCTCTGATGGGACAACACCAGCAACCATATGCGGGGCAGCAGCCCTCGCAGCCTCTCGTTGGCCACTACGCACAGCCCCAACAACAACAACAGCAGCAGCCGCCCGTCAAGACGTCGGGCTTTGTCGTCCCGGGCTCGGACCTTGTCGACTTGCGCACCGAGTCGGAGGTCTCCAAGGCCAAGGTCGCGTCGGACCCGCGCTCGCTCAACGAACTGCAAAAGATGAACCACAACCCGCCGCCGCAGCCCGTGATGCCGCCGCCGCAGCCGACGACCTCGATGCATCCGGGCATGCTCCAGCCGCACATGATGCAGCTGCAGCCGCCGACCGGCATGTACATGCAGCCGTCCATGTACGGAGGCTACCCGCCGCAGCAACACGACCAGCAGCGCCACATGATGCTTTTGATGCAGCAGCAGCAGCAGCAACAACAACAACATCCGACGCACATGACGCCGTCGCAACCCGGTTTTTTCTAAGAAGGATTACCACAACTATGTGTACACGTTTGTGCAAGTATCTTATATTAGTTTAGTCACTAGCCGATCGGCTCGAGCGTCGTCGCTGCTACACTGTCTACGATCGCCTTGCCATGGGGCTCGGACGAGCTGTGCTCTATGCTTCGTCGCTTGGCCTTGGCTGCCGTGCCCGCGCGATCGTCCATCGGATGGATGGGCGGCGGCCGTTCGTCCCGGCGCGCCCGCCCGCCCTTGTCGGTCGTCGGCGTCAATGTCGTTGGTTTCGGGGACTTGGGACACACGGAGAGCGAGGTGTGTGTCGCCGGCATGCGCTTCGCCGAGTGCGTTGGCGTCAAGCAGTTGATAGCTTTTTCTGCGGGCGTCACCTTGGGCATCACCAATGCGTTCGTGTTGAGCGCCGGGATCGTCACGGGCGTCGTCGACGCCGGCCGCGGCGACCGCGTGTGGTGCGGTGGCTTGGCGTCGCCTGTGCGCAGCGTGCGCCCGACCCGGGGGTGGCCCGATCCACCGTGGTGTGTCGTCATGACGAGTGTCGATGACGGCGGCGTGCTCAGGCCGCTCAGCGTCGGGACGAGTGGGTTCGATGTTGTGCGCAGCGCGGCTTTCGGTAGCTTGTTGCTCTCGTCGACGCTATTCTCATCCGCGGTTGCTGTCGTCGTTGTCGTGGATGATGATGAGGATGCTGCTGTTGGGGGCAGAGGTATTGAAAACGATGACGCGTCGGTCGTGTGCTTAGCGATCTGCAGCGTAAAGGCCTCGGCGTCGTCGTCGTCGTCGCCGTCTTTGGAAGGCGACGCCGCCATGAGACTCTCCATGCTCGAGTAGCTCGCCTTCCCGCGCAGCCACGGATGCGAGAAAATCTCGGGGATCGTCGCCCGCTCAACCGGGTCGGGCTGCAGCATGCGCGTGATCAAATCTACACCACATTGCCATTGTACTAGCGAGGCCTTGGACGTCGTACCCGTCACTTCCGGACTGAGGGTCTCGTCAAGCTTGTACTGGGCGCGCATGATGCGGTTGCGGATGACGTTTTCGCGCGGTCGGTTGGTGCCCTTGAGGTCCGTGCCTTCGAACGGGAGGCGGCCGCACACGATTGCAAACAAGATGACGCCAAGACTCCACACGTCCAGCGGCGGTCCTAAGCGCACATCGACACATAGATGTGCGGGAGGCGTCGGACCTGCGTTGGACGTGCCACGAAACACTTCGGGCGGGAGGTACGAGATGGAGCCGCACGTTGTCTTGGCCATGGCACCTACGACGCTATTGTCGAGACGATGACAAGGGATGGAATACCAGGTCGATAAAAGTCACTCAGGCCAAAGTCGGCAATCTTGACGCTGTTGAGGTCGCTTTTGCTACACGAGCAAACGTGAGCGTGGACGACCAGTGCAGCGTACTTTTGTAGCAAAATGTTCTCGAGCTTGAGGTCGCGATGGCAAATGTGTTGGTTGTGGGCATACCCGACGCCCGATAAGATCTGAGAAAACACAAGCGCGCCCTCTTCCTCGACGAGGCCGCCGCTCGGGAGGTGCACGAGGTGGTGGTACAAATCGCCGCTACAACATCATGATTGCCTACGCCTGCATGTCGAGCCGCACGGACCCTTCGAGGAGCTCAAAGACGAGCACGACGTGGTTGGGCTCATTAAATACGCGGATGAGCTTGATGATGCTCGGGTGGTTGAGCGCCTGCCGATCGATGTGCATGAGCTAGTAGGAACGCGATGGAGATGGCACCGTGAGGCACTGGATCTCGGTCGTCGTGCGCTCGACGTCGCCGAGCGACCCCATTTCGCTCTTCTACTCCTCGTGTCAAGACAAATGGAAGTGCAAAGTGACATCGTACGAGGATAAACTTGAGCGCGACTTTTTCGTTGGTGAGCTGGTGGACGCCGAGTCGGACTTCGCCAAAGCCGCCGCGGCCGAGAAGCGTCGTGACGCGGTACCCGCCGACAACGCCGCCGCTGCCAATGTTGTCGACGCTGCTGGCCTCGGCTTCGCTTTGGCCCGGAATCTGGAACGGCGCGCCCGTCGAGAAGAAGAGCATGTCGCCTTCCTCGATGCACATGAGGTCGTCGACCTCGACGCCTAAAACACCGTTCATAGGACGCGCTGCTGTTGAACAGACCGTCCGAGTTGAAGACGCGTGATGCCATTGGCACCATCTCGAGGCGCTGCGAGCACGAGCAGAGAAAGTCGTCCCAGGTCCAATGCGGCTGCACAAAGAGCGCTACGCCACGCAGATGGGTGTCGTGCAGAAGAGGACGCGCCTACTCTTGGGGTTTTCAAAGCACCCGTTCTTGTAGGCCTTGATGGGCCGGCCCTGGACGTCGTGCTCGTTGAAGTCGTCGTCAAAGTCGCCCATGCTCGGCGTTAAATTTACACTGCGGCCGGTTCAGAGCTATTTCGATTTCGACAAACGAGTAACTAACCCAACCAACGGCCCATCAACGTCCACGCTTCTCCGCCGACAACAAGCACGAGTGGACAACACATGTGTTCTTAGTCGACGCGTCATGGGACTGCTGTCTAGTTGGCCTTGTTGACGCCGTCGACGCGCTTGCCCTTGGCGTCGCCGTCGTCGCTCTCGTCATCGCCGCTCGCATCGTCGTCGTCGTTGCCACCTTGGCGTTCCTTGAGGAGCGCTTCGGCCTCGCGCAATCGGTCTTGGTGCGAGACCGGGTACTCTTCGTCGCCCATGCAATAGTCGAGCAGCGCAACGAGGATCGCGACAATGATGGCGAGCGCAACAATACCGGCGAGGACAGCCCAGAGCGTGTGCTCGGCCGCCCACTCGAGGAGACCGTCGACGAGCTGGCCCGCAAGCGACTCGTCCGGAATGGCCCCGATCGTCTCGGCCTTGCTGTAGCCCGACGCGATAAAAGACGTAAAGCTGCGCGAAGACGCGTCAGTACCGACCATAAGTATGGAGCAACACGTACCCTTCGAGCGTGCGCGCGCCTTCGTACTTGTACACTTGACCGTTCTTGATAAAGAAGAGCGTCGGGTATCCGTTGACGCTGAAGCGCGAGCAGACGCGGCGGTACTTGGTGCAGTCGATCTACGCCAAGCAGATAAGAACTAGGGCGGTCGACAATATGATGGCTAGACCTTGCCCACTTGGGCCGTGCTGCCACTCTCCTTGAGCGTCGCGCTGAGCTTGTCCCACACCGGCGCCTATCCCAAGTGGATCAGAAAGGATTTGGAGGTTGTGTTGGACGTACGAGGCGCTTGCAGTGGCCGCACCACGGCGCGTAAAACTTGAGCAGCCATGGCTCCGACTTGTCGTGGACGAGTTCGTCAAACGACGTGGTCGAGAGCGACACGACGAGGCTGTTCTTCTCGGCTTCGGCCATTTCCTTTTCCATCTGAATCTGGCGCGCATCTAGTTGCATTCATCACAAAGGTGCGCCACTAGGAACGAGCAACGTACCAAATTGGCTCTGGGACAAGATCTCTTCGCCGCCGACCTTCTACAAGGACGCGTGAGTGGGATCGAGACCAAGCATGCCGTACCTTGTAGCCGTTGGTGACGAAGTCCACAAAGTGCTGGCTATCGCGCTGGCCCGCGTAGTCGAACGAGTGCTTGTCGGCGATCGCCTTGATCGTCGGGTACGACTTGACTTCGAAGCGCATGCACACGGTCTTGTGCACGGTGCAGTCGATCTTGCCAATGTGAATGTCCTTGCCCTACATTGCGCTCACGTCAGATGGCGGGAACGGTAGCTTGGCGACAACCTGGATCGCCGCATCCGACGGGAGCTTGTCAAAGGTCGGCGCCAGCGACTTGCAATGGCCGCACCACGGGGCATAAAACTTGATGAGCCACACGCCGTTGGCCGTGCGCGCATCAAAGTTGTCGGTCGTCAGAACCTCGGCGCCGTCAGCGCGGGCCATGCCCACCAAGGCCATCAGAAGTACCGAGAGCAGGATTGCCGCACGTCCGAGCATCTTAGTCTGGCTGCCTCAAAATCCTGAATGAGGCACCGCAAAAGGTTCGACGCCTCATTTTAGGGCTAGAAACTCCTCGGCCTTCCGGAAATACAAATGCAAATATTAAATCCATAGATACAAATAGATAGATGCTGTGGCTAACGTTTTCATATTTAAAATACAGGCCTTTTCCGGAAGGTACTCACCAGCAGTCTATTTCCACGCAACGCTGGGTTGGTGCTGGTCAAGCAGGGAAGGCGCCTTGTCGTGGTTTAGGCCGTCGCGCCATTCTCTCAGCGGTAAGCAGTATACATATATATGTAGGCTAGATCCCGCATGGGCTGTTATGCTTCAATACAGCTCTCTATGCCTTGTCTAAATGCTTCTAGTTGGGTGTTTTCAACCTGGTGGGTTGGCACCTGTTTCAAACGCGATCCACGAGATGGACGAGGAGCGGACCGCGCTGCTCTACGCGGTCAGCGCCATCTGCGACGCCAGCGCGACGCAGGACTTCATGGACGTCGAGAATGGGATCAAGGCCAAGGCGCGACCCAGCGCGTCCAAGGAGACGCTGCAGATCCTCACGGACGTCGTGCTCAAGCAGGTCGACCTCGTCGCCGTGGACCTGCAGCAGTTTGCGCAGCACGCAGGCCGCAAAAAGATCTCGGCGGAAGACGTGCTGCTCTGTGCCCGCCGGCAGCCGGACCTGGCCGCGACGCTGCAAGAGTACCACCGCGCCAACTTTCTCGGGAGCGCGACGCGGAAGCGCAAGGACCGATCGTGAACGAGACGATACGTGTGTTAAATAAGAACCGACGGATTTGCTAGCTAATCGTGCACCCGTAGCAAAAGGACGCTTGGCAGAGCTTGTCGGGACTCCGCGCCTGGAGCGCTTCGGGAAACAGCGTCGCGGAAGCCTTCTTGTCCGAGACGACGCTGCTTTCCTGGTCGTCCTCGGGCGTGATCGTCGGCTGCGATGACATGGTCATCGTCGCCGAGAAGAGCTCAAACTCGGTCGTTGGCGACAAGAGCGAGATGCGGCCGCCGTCCTTGCGCCGGTACGGGTTGTCGCTCGCAGCCGAGAGCGCCTTCTCCCGCGCAATCGGTGGCGACCGAATCGGCACGACGCCGTCCGAGCTGTTGCTGCGCCGGCGCATTGCGAGCGTCGGCTTGAGGTCGTCGACCCAAAAGCTCCGCGACGGCCGGCGGCTTACCGTGGCCGTCGGTTCGTCGTCTTCGTCGCCAAAGCAGCGCAAAATGAGCGGCTCGGTCATCGCGCCTTGGTACCACTCGCGAAACGAGAGCTTCCGGTCCAAGTCGACGTCCATGCGCAGGAGCTTCTGCATAAAGGCGGTCGGGAGCACGCGCCCAAAGCGGTCAAAGAGCGCGGCCGTGTCGTCCTCGTCGTCAATGATCTGCGCCGTGTCGGCGGACGCGGACCGGAATTTATTTTTCTTCTTTTTCGGGTGCGCAGCGGTGATCGAGACCTTGTTGTGGTAGATCTCGCAGAGCGACCCGGCCATGAGGATCATCTGCTCGACGTCGAGGTGGCCGACCTTCTCGCCGTCGTACAGGTCAAAGCACAGCTGCAGCTTCTCTTCCAACGTGCCCTTGCAGAGCACAGAGAGCGCCTGGAAAGCTGCATGAGCCTCGGTACACATCGAGAGATTAGATTGCGTACGAGCATGAGGCGTTGAAAGTCGACGTGGCCGCGCGCGTCGGGCTGCAGGACCTCGAAGAGCTGGTCGAGGCTCTTTGGGCCCCACTCGGGGATGACGCGCGACAGGATCGGCCGCAACACTTCCTTGTTGATGCCGCCGGCCAGCGTCGGCAGCTTGGCGTGGTTGGTCGTGCGCAAAATGAACTGAAACTCGAGCTGGAGCTGCTCCAACTGCGAGCGGTCGAAATGGGTGATGCCATGGAGCGCGCACACCTCTTGCTCCATGTAATGCGGGTTCACGCGCACGTCGACGCGGAGCGCTTCGATGGCCTCTTCGGTGAGCGCATACGTCGCGGCCTTGGCTTCAAGTTGTGCAAAGACGTCCATGTCCATGCTCGCTGCGTGTTCGAGCGCAATCTTGTACGCAAAGCTGGCATCGCCGTCGTCCTGTGTCTAGAGAGAACGTGAAACGGTGGAGGGTAGCGTCGGGCGAGTCGTACGATCGAGTCGATGATGTCGTCGGTGGCCGAGTCGAGCAGCATGAGCGCCATGACAAAGTGTGCGATCGAGCCCGTGCTCGGAGTCGCTGTCAGCGTGTAGTTCCAGTAGCTCGCCAGCGCTTGCGTGGGCACTTGGTCCACAAAGACTGTGATGAACCACTTGAACGCGAGCAGCGACGAGAGACATTGCAAGTCGCTCTAGACCGAATCCGTATGAGCATCAAGCATGCATGTTGAAGCAGGTACCTCGGGCATGGCGTTGGCCAGCCGCGGCAGCTTCAAGGCGATGAGATGGCCAAGGACATCCATGTCGACGTGAAAGCCTTGGAGCTTGGGAAGGCGCGCGAAAAAGTCGGACGGAAAGATGCGCTCCATGACAACGCAATAGACCCAGAAGACATGTTCTTCGTCGTAGCCGGCCGAGGCCTCATGGACGTGGCCGAGGAGAAAGCTCACCACGTCGGCGTGGCCTTGCACGTACCCGACGCGCACGTTGCGCACGGCGTAGGCCATCAAAATGCGCTTGAGCGACTCGAGGTAGGGTGCTAACGGCGCCATGTCGAGGCTGTCATCTTCGGTCACGTCTCGGTGCAAGACGTAGCGGTAGAGGGACACGCCGGCACGCGGGACGTCGAGCGCGATCTGGCGCGCGTCGGCCTCCAGCACGGCGCCGGGCAAGAGCGCGCGTCGGCAGAGGTCGCGGTACGACCGGTTGCTGCGTGCGGCCAGCGCATGGGCCCCGGACGCTACGTGCCAGTCCATGCTCCTCGTGCTCCTTGACTTGTGTAAAAGCTTGGCAAATCGAACGTCGCAATACGTTTCAGCACGGCCCATTTGACTTGCGATTTGTATTCACGCCGCCTTCCCCAACACTGTATGTTTCCCGAGCGAATCTATTTTATTCCAATTCGTTTTATTTTATTTTCTTGCGAGTGATTTCGGCCCCGCTTGCTCATTGGCTCGGTCCACTCGACCTCGCGCATGTCCCTAGTCTGGTGCTATAACTCATTGTGGGGCTGTTCCTTCGCTTTCGACAGCGTCCGAACGAGGACTTGGTTTAGGTCGGTGTGCTAGGGGCGAATGGCTGGCTGCCTCGCTTCTGCCATCCCAGCTTGGGCCGAGGAACTGCACCACCCTATAGCGCACCATCTCATATCGTGTGATGGATCGTCGTCGATGGTCCGTCGCGATTGGTTGATGCATACAAGAGGGCGCGTGTTGATTCAACAAAGCCGCGCGGATGGCACATCTACCGCAAGTGCTGAACGTCCCCATGTCTCGCTGCCCGTCGCGGCTACTTGAGCAAGGCAATCCATCTCAGACCTTCGTCCTCGACCGAGCGACGTGGTGGAGGTACTGTACATGAGGTCACGCATTTGTCCGTGTCCATGGTCGTGTCCCAAGGTGCCACCATGCCCCAGTACAGTGTACTGCAACGGCAAGCAGCTTCCGTTGGCTGTGCGGCCGTCGGCGCTGACCAATACCGGTACTAGCACCTTGTACAGGCGTCCTGACGCATAACGTTGCCGACGTCGCACTTGTCGCTTGCAACACGGTACAACTCGGTGGACTTGGTCGTTGCCAGGACTACTTGTGTACGTAGTGCGCTTGTTTGTGGCGTGCAGCCCGCTATAAGCTGCCTGCTAGCTCTACATGCTTATTGCGAGCGTATTTCAAGCTTATTGCAAGCTTCTTGCAAGCTTTGTGCATGCTGATTGGGTCGCTGGTACAATGTCGTCGTGCATGGCGGGAAACCTCTCGCACTTGATCCATCACATGACATTTGTTTATAGAGGTTCAAGAAATAGTATGAAGGTTTGTATTTGGCGGCCGAAATTCGAAGAGAGCGTCGTCATGGAACGGCTCGCGGCGCAGGTACGCGCGGCCGTCGAGGCCATGAGCTCATGCTGCTGAGGTAGAGCGAACGATGTCTTCGCCTCCTGCGCGAGGACGCCGAGTGGCAGGACAAGACGCAGCAGCTGCTGGACCTCCAGGAAGTCTTCGAGGCCATGCGAGCGACGGGCAGGCTCAAGCCAATCGACCCGGTCCTCGCGCTTCTCAAGCCACTCGTGGTACGATGAACTTTCGTGCTAGTACATATGCAGTGGCTCATGCAGTATAGCCGCATCTGACGGCCATGCTGGGCGATATTCGGTCGTCGGTCGTCAAGACGACATGCTCGGTGCTCTCGGCGATCGCGACCGCGTGCGGGCCGGACCTCGCGCCATTCGTGGACGAGATCCTGCTCGGCGTCTTGAACACGGCGTACGTCAAGGTCCGCGTCATGTCGAGCGCGGGCGAGGCTTGCCTCGAGACCATCTCCAGGCAGTCCCGCTACAGCCTGCTCCAGCTCCAAGCCCACTTTGCGCAAACCAAGCACGGTAAAGCCCCTTTCTCTCGTTTGATCCTGATGGAAGTCGACCTCTCTGTAGCGGACGTGCGCCATCTCTGCATAGCGCAGTTTCCCATCATCATGAGCTCATGGCTCAAGCCCGAGCTCGACGCGCAGTACCCGATTCTGAAGAGCATGCTCGCGAAGGCGCTCCAGGACCAAGACGACAAGGTACGGCGGAAAGCGCGCGAAGCCTTTTGCATGTTGTCTGAGATCTGGTACTAGCCTCCTCAATTCTATGGCGGCGCGCTCACGATGGCGACGATGTAGGGACGAACACATGGACGAGTTTGTGCTCTTGCCCCAGCGCACGACGCGCGAGTCCATCATCAAGGAGTTTCCGCTCTCGCGACTGGCCACAGAGCTGCGGCGCAAGCACGGCGAGCCCGTACCGAAGCGCACGCCACTCAAACAGCGCATGGCGACGACGCCGGACCCATCGATCGCGTCGGAAGAGTCGTCGGACAGCGTGCCGCCGTCGCCCAGCACAAAAAACACAACACGGCCACGCGCCGCATTGAAACCCATGGCGCGGTCGGTCTCGGTACCGAGTGCGCGCCGCTACATCGCTGCGTCGGGCTCCATGTCGTCCCAGTCCTCCTCCTCCGACGTCGCTCCCGTCGACTTGGACGACGAACTCGCGCGCCGCGACGAGGCCGAGTCCCGTGACGTTGCGTCGGAGCCGCAGGACGATGTCGTCGACAATCACGCACCGCATGACGATGCGCACCCGACAGCACGGCCCGTCTCGGTGCCCAAGCGACTGCTTGACAACTTCGTGTGGATCTGCACGGCCGTGAGCATTCTCTTTGCGATCTATGGCCTCACGGGGGCCCTCTGGAGCGTCGTGCTGCTCGGGAGTCCGTCAAGCGACATTTCGCTCGAGCTCCAAGACGTCGAGGACGCGGTGCTCACAACGCTCTTTGAGTTCCGGGCGCACGAGGCTGAGATGGACGCGTGGGTCCACGACGTCGCTGATACGATGGACGCGTACCGGCGCGAAGCGTCGGCCGAAATTAGCCGCCTTCACGACGCCAACGCCGTCTGGAACCGGTCGATGCGCAACGATATGGCGGCCTTCACCGCCGAGTTTGTGGCCAAAATCAAGTTTGATCCGACACCCGAGAGCAGTGCTCCCTAGTCGATCAACGCCTTGTGACTGTTGTCGATCTTTTTTCTAATATATAACCCCAACCCTATCCCTCTTTACGTCTCGACATTCGCGTCGCGAGGCAGATGCCACAGGTCCTCGGTGGAAGAACCGACGCAGAGAAGACGCCAGCAGAACTGGAAGAGAAAACGGTAGGGTAGTATTATTGATGGAGTCTATTACATGTAGTGGTCGCGTGCGAGCTGCAGCATGGCCAAGTCGGCGAGCACGAGCGACGACATGGACTCGACAAGCGGCGGGACGCGCGGGAGGACGCATGGGTCGTGGCGGCCCTTGGCCTCGAGCACAATGGCGTTGCCGTCAAAGTCAACAGTCTCTTGGGCCTGGCCGATCGTCGAGACGGCTTTGACTGCGATCTTGAAGTAGATGTCGGCGCCGCTCGAGATACCACCGAGGACACCGCCGGCGTCGTTCTTGACGACGCTCAAGCGGCCGTTCTCGCCAGCGCAGAACGCGTCGTTGTGCGCCGAGCCGCGCTGGCGCGTGCCCTCAAAACCCGAGCCGTACTGGAACCCCTTGACAGCCGGAATCGAGAGCATCGCGTGGGCCAACATCGCTTGGAGCTTGTCAAAGCACGGTTCACCCCAGCCCACAGCGGCGTTGCGAATGACGCACGTGACTGTACCGCCGATCGAGTCGGCGTCGGCCTTGCACTCGCGGATGACCGTGGCCATGGCGGCAGCCGACGGCGGATGCGGGCAGCGCACAGGCACCAAGTCCTCGGTAAGGTACTCGGCGAGGTTGGACGGCGTCGGGAGCACGTCGCCCTGGCGGTTGTACACGACGTTGTTGGCATCGAGGTACGCCGGCGCCGCGAGGTCCGTCGACGCAACGAACGCCTCCTCCGTCTGCCCGGGCACCTGCAGGATGCGCAGCGTGCCGAGGCGGTCAACGTCGTCGCGCGTCAGCGTCGTCCCCGTCGTGTTGAGCGACGGCATTGGCATATCGACGTGGCCAATCGAGCTCACCCACGAGACGATCTCGGTCTTGAATTTTTGCGCAAGCCACTTTTCCGCGATCGCACCGGCCGCGACGCGACCGATGGTCTCGCGGGCGCTGGCACGACCACCGCCACTCGAGGCGCGCGTGCCATACTTGACCTGGTACGTGTAATCGGCGTGGCCGGGTCGGGGCACATTGCTCATCTCGCTATAGTCTTGCGGCCGGACATTCTCGTTTGGCACAAACACCGAGATGGGCGTGCCAAGCGTCACGCCACGCTCCGTGCCACTCTGGATCACGACGAGGTCCTTCTCGTCGCGGGGCGTCGTGAGCTTGCTCTGGCCAGGACGGCGCCGCGTGAGCTGCGGCTGGATGTCGGCCTCAGTGAGCTCGAGGCCCGGCGGGACGCCGTCGATGATGGCGCCGACGCCCTTGCAGTGCGACTCGCCAAACCTAAGGCGACATATGAGACCAAGAGTCGCAGGAAGCGGCGCGTCGTACGTGGTGACGCGGAAGAGACGGCCAAAGGAGCTCATGGCGTCGAAATGGAAAATGGCGGTTCGAAGATTTGGCGATGGAATTCCGCGATTGGCCAAACACCGTACGCGGTCCTGATTGGCCGGGCATCGGCCACAAGAATCGCTGAAAATGCTTGCGCCACGTCGGCTGGGTGACACGGATAGCCCTCAAGCAGCCAGTCGCTGAGGCAGAAGGTAAATCGAGACGACGAGCTATCTGGCCTCGCAGCTCTCGCAGGTGATAGATAGATAGGTCGTCGTAGTGTGCTACAGCTGCAGACGCCGACTCGAGCGACCAAGTTATAGTAGCTCGTCGAGTGGCACAAGCCATGCCCAATTGGGTTGCGCGACCTGGCGCCCATAAACATGCATTGGTCAGAGGTGTGCTCGTTGGCCTTCGTCTTGCGTATAGAGCCGCCAAGCTCCAAGGGACTCCACCTGACGGGACCCATACTGGCCGTGGCGTCACGTGCATGGACGACTGTCCCATTTTGCTATCTGCTTTCTCTCTCGCAGCATTGTGGCGTGGTGGTTTGGCCTCTTGGGGCTGCTCTCTTGTAAACAGTGGATCCAAAACAGTGGACGGACGCAACAGGATTTCAAAGATCCGATTTTGATAACGGTCCGGCGGTCGTTGCCGTTGGTTTCGCCACTTTGCCTTCCGCAGCCAGCATGGCAGGTCCGTCGGTCTTGGCTCCGAGGATCGATCCAACGATGGCCTGTAGACGAGTCCATCGAACGCGTCCTCACGGTCATCAACCAGTGCTTTGCCTTTGCGATCCCGCCCCAGTCGTCGGCTGCGGGCCACCGGTGCGATACATCACCGAAATAGATCTCAGCCTCATGCGTACTAGCGCCGACTCGTGGCCCAAGGACCCGGTCTGGACTGGTCGCCTCGTCATCTCGGTGGTCAACGACGTGACGCAAGTCCAGCTCCGCGATCCCAAGACAGGCACCAGCACGTGGGCGGACATCTGAGATCTGATATCTGGGATGCAGGTGGCCTCTTTGCGGCTTGCCCCATCTTGAAGGACGGGACGCCCTCGGTGCAAAAAGGTGCGGGCGAAAGCGGTCTCGGAATTGCTCATGGAGGCGTCTAGTCGTCGATAGCAGCCGCTACTTTGTGCTGCGCATCGTCGACGCCAAGTCGGGTAGGACAAGCCGCTACCGACGGGCGTCTCACGCGACGGCGGTAGGGCGCCACGCGTTCATCGGCATTGCGTTCGAAGATCGCAACGACGCGTTCGACTTCAACGTGGCGATCGACGACCATCAAAAGTACTTCGCCATCATTCATGTACACGCGAGACGATGCAATATGGTAGCGAGATGAAGCGCGAAGAAAATGCGATCGCCGAGGCCAGCTCCAAGCCCGCGGTCGCCGTCGACTACTCGCTCAAGCAAGGCCAAACAATCAAAATCAAACTCAACAAGAAGACTAAGGAATTCGACCCGAGCCCGAGTCCGGCACCGGTCCAGCCGTTCGCGCAAGCATCGAGCAGCGCCAGCGGTAGCAAGAACGCAGACCTCCTGGGCTTCGGTGCCTTTGACGCACCTGCGTCCAGCACACAGTGCGCTCGCCACCAAATCTTCTCGGACCTCACACTTAATGTGCATCTAGGCAGGCAGCGCCGAGTACGTGGGAGACCTTCTAGTTCCAACCACATCTGGACGACAAGACACGAAACCAAAACAACAAGCTTTCCAGACGTCGTCGGTCGTCGTTTACGCGCGCTTGTCGCCGTTCCACTTGTAAAAGCCTTCGCCCGTCTTGCGGCCGAGCTTGCCTTCCTTGACCTTTTGGCGGAGGAGCGACGGGACCTCAAAGACAGGCTCGTTCGGGTACTTGGTGGTCCAGCCCTCGAGGATAAAGAGGATCGTGTCGAGGCCGACGTAGTCCGCGAGCGTGATGGGACCCATGGGGTGGCCGGCGCCGAGCTGCATCGAGACATCAATGTCTTCCATCGACGCGTCACCGCGTTCGAGGAGGAAGAGCGCCTGCGCGAGGTTGGGCACGAGCAAGCTAGACCGCGGACATGAGATCACACTAGGAGCGAGTGGCGTCTACCGGTTGACGATGAAGCCGGGCGTGTCCTTGCAGCTCACGGGCGTCTTGCCGAGCGAGGCCGCCCAGCGCTTCGAGACGTCAAAGACGGCCGGGTCTGTCTCCTTGGTCTGGACGACTTCGACGAGCTTCATGACCTGGACAGGGTTGAAGAAGTGGAGGCCGACCTGCGTGTAGCACCGTGAGCTTCGTGCACCGCAGGTAGAAGGTAGATGACGTACGACTTGCGACGGGCGGCCCGACGAGCCGGCAAAGTCGCCGATCGAGAGCGACGACGTGTTGGAGGCCAAGATACCCGAGGGCTTGACGATGCCGCCGAGCTCCTTGTAAAAGGTCTTCTTGATCTCGACGTCTTCGATGATCGCCTACGCATGAGGATGAGATTGCAATGCACAATCGATCCCAAGCATGTACCTCGATGACGAGGTCGCACTCGGCGAGGTCCTTCTTGACGACCGAGCCGTGGATACGGCCCATGACAGCGGCAAACTCGTCCTTGGCCTGGTCCGCAGTCCACTCGCCCTTCTTGACGTGGCGGGCGCCGATCTTCTCGAGCGAGCCCTCGATGCGCGCAAGGCCAGCGTCGAGCGACTTTTGCGTCACGTCGAGCGCAACGACGTCGTAGCCGGCCATGGCCGCGGTCTGCGCGATGCCATGGCCCATGAGGCCGAGGCCCACCATGCCCACGCGCGTGATCTCCGGGATCGTCTTGGTCGCCATCGACCGCATGCCCGTCTTCATCATCATCATCGTCTTGCCTGTTTACTTGACAGCCCCAATCCAAAAGTGGGGTTGATGCAACACGCCGACAGATTGTTTAAAACACATTTTGCACTGCCACCAACGGTTTAAAACAAGCACCAGATGGTCCAAGTTGAACTTGGATTCTGGCGCGAATCTTCCAGGCGAGGCTCGGATGGCGGGGATGATATTGCTCTTTGTTTGGTATTGTCAATAGTCTACATATTGCAAAAGCATATACTGTCCAGAGATAAAGCACAATGCGGCTGCTACGGGGTTCATGTTGCTGTTTTCTATTGGCTGTTCTGCGAGGAGGTGGCGTCCGATGGCCTCTCAGCGCGGTCGTTCGTCGTGTGCTCTTGCAAAACGCGCTGTTATGTTTTGGTACATGGCTATTTCTCGAGTAGTGCGTGCACACGTGCTATCCTTCGCTTCGTTTTTGCCTAGCGTATGGAGGACAAGATCACAACAAAATGTACCTCGTTCGGTGACCGAGAGGTGGATTTTCATAGTAAAATCAACTGATAAAAGCAAACTACCTATACACCACTTGGTTTCCGCTGTCTGCCTGGGACCAGGCGTGACTCGTTCGTCCAACACGACGCAGAACCCCAAGACACCGTCAAGGTCGGAACACAATTGCGTTATTTTTCAAATATCCTATGCTTTTGTATGGTTGCTGGCTAGCATCACCCAGCCAAGGTGCGGCAAATCGCGATTGGGCATTTATTGAATGAAAACAGCCAATGGCATCGCTGTATTTAACCCAGATACAGCTAAGCGTTTGTTCGGATGTCGTCCAGCACCCGGTGCGATCGCTCCACATTGGGCGTGGCCTGTCGGAACATTATTGTATTGCATTCGCGTTTATAGCTAGAGTTGAATGCACTGTGAATCGGACCTCGCTATCCGAGCTTCTCGACATCAACGAGACAGTCCACCGCCTTCCAACGGTGCAATCTCGCGTGGCACCAACGGGATTCTGTTTGCTTTCGGTCGTTTTGGCCAACGCTAACACGCTGGCAGAGCTCAATTGTGCTTGTTTCGAGGATGCAGACGGCCCACGGAGCAATTCCCTTTCTCTTGCAGTCGGCGATGAGCGAGACGCAATGCGTCTACGTCGGCGCTGGTCCTTTTGATCCGCCGCGCCTCGTCGACATGACAGCAGTCGAAGGCTCACAAGGAGAGTGGCTCTTTGACGGCAAGCGGCTGCGGTGCGCTAAGGATCTTTCTCGGTGCTAGAGCGTCGACGACAGTCCGAAAATCCTGGCCACGCACGCCATTTACTTGGACGCAGTTCGCCTTGGGTCGCAACCGGCGCAAGAGTGGTGCTGGACAGGCAAGCTCTTCATCTCGGTCTTGTTCCCGACCGCGTGCATCCAACTGAACGTGGTCACGTCGCCGTTGCCTGCGTCGACGCGCTGCGTTCTCGGCGACGTTCGCGCTGGCAAATACCCGCCGCAGGAGTGGACCATGGTGTTTCTCATCCAAGACACTGTTGTGACGCCGAAGACAGGAATCGTCCCGCTCACCTCTCTCTCGACGATGCAAGTGTATCAGCTGCTCTCGGCCCTCGAGTTTGACCAGTACAAACAGCGCCTTTGGAAGGCCAGTATCAACGGCCACGCGCTCGCGTGCTGTGCCACTGTCGACGAACTCGTTGAGCTCGGTATTGACCTCAAGCTCAAGGCACGCTCGCTCTGGCAGTCGCTGCAATCGTTCCAGGCCGCTGGCGTGCCTGTCGCTCTCTTTGAGCACGCCCCGCGGCCCAAGTGTGCGTACCGCTTCCAGTCGGTCAAGCACCCGGCGCTGTGCTTGCAGCTGCAGAGCGGCACCGGCGCGAGCCGCAACGGCGACCGGTGCATTTTGGGCACGACCAAGGCGACGCTCTTTCCAGCCCAAGCGTGGATCTTTGAGGGCAAGTTGATCTACTCGGCCAAGGACAAGGCTAAGTGCATTCACCTGAACGAGCACGGGAAGACGTTCAACGGCGACATTTGCCACCTCTGGGAGGTCGAGCGCAAGAAGCCGTGGGCTAACCAGGAGTGGCTCTTTGACGGCAAACTCATCCGGTCGGTCAAGGACCCGACCAAGTGCATCCGCCTCCAGAGCGGCGACAAGCCGCATGTGGGTGCCGGAGACTTTTGCCACTTGTGGGACATTGTCTACGATGGCCCGTTTCCCGCCCAGGAGTGGACGCTCGTGCGCGACGAGCACGTCCGTGTCGACTGAGTACATTCTAGTCGCTGGGTGTCACCACAGATTATGTACTAACACAAACTAACTACTAGTATTGGTAACACGCCAAGTGTTTGTACCGTGCACAATATACCGCCTCTGGTCCAAGTCTAAAATTGGCTCGCATAGCATGGGCTGGGACACGAAGCTCCAAGCGCTCTTCAAGAACGAAGAAGTCTGGGACGTCGATGACAGCGACGACAGCATCATCCGCGAGCTCGCCAAGGCGGCCGACCAAGGCGTCGACGTCGTCGGCGTCACGGACGAGGTCGCACGTCGCTCCAACTCCTCGGCATCATGGTTTCTTCGATGAAGTAGGCGCTGAATACGTTTACGCACCTCGCCGCGCTCTGGGATCGACCGCGCGTGCTCGAGTTTCTCATCCGCCGCGGCGCCGAGCTCAACGCAACCAACAAGGTCGGCCACACGCCCGCGGATCTGGCCATGCACTGGGGCAACGCCGACTTGGCGATTCAGCTCAAGCACTACGGCGGCAAGCACAGCTGCGAGCAGGAGCGGGATCTCGCGATCGCGCAGCGCGACATTGCCGCCAGCCACGTCGCGGACGCCAAGAGCAAAATGGAAAAGGCGCTCGCCGAAGCGCTGGCCTTGTCGAAAGAGCGCGAGGGTCTTCGCATTGAGCGCGATCGGCTGGTCGTCGAGATGGATGAGCTCTCGCACGACGCCGCCCAAGTTCGCGCCGACTGCGTCACGTACCGCACGCTCTTTGAGACGCAAGAGGCGCAAATGAGTGCGCTCAAGCTCGAGCTCGAGAAGGTCCGGTCGCAGATGAGTGCCGAGGTGAAGACCAAGACGAACGCGCTCGAAGGCTGGACCAAGGCCGAAGCGCATGCAAAGGAGATGCAGCGCATGCGCGAGATCGCCATGCAGTGCGAGGAAGAGGCCGTCAAGATGCGCGACGAAGCCATGGCCGAGCGCGACGCAGCCCGCGACCTCGTACTGCCACGTCATGTTATCCGGATGACCTCCAACCTTGGGTTAGATGACGCAAGCGCAGACGGACCATGTCGTCGCCGTGACTGTACAAAAGCAAGCAGCGCTCGAGCGCGCCTTGGCCATCAAGGAGAAGAACGAGGCGCTGGCGACGATCCAGGCGCAGATTGCCGAGTGGTCGGCCAAGGTGAGAGCGGCCGAGGAAGACCGCGCCATGATCCAAGTCGAAATCAACCGGCAAAAGGTACACAAACGAGGGACTCCTATATGTTTAATACGAGGTATAGGCGAGCTTGGAGGCGCGCTGCAAGGCGCTTGAGAAGGAGGTTGCACGCGTGAACCTCCTCAACACGATCCTCGAGGGCCAGCTGCGGGATGCCACTACGAAGCTCTCAACAGCCGAGAGCACGACCGAGTCCTCTGTTGTCGCGATGGAGAAATCGACGCGCAAGGCCAAGCGCCTCGAGAACGAGATCAAGGAGCTCATGGAGGCGCGCGTCGAAGAGAAGCGGCTGTGGCGCTTCAAGGAGTCGCAGGCGCTCCACGAAGAGTCGCAAGCCAACATGCAGCTGCTGCTCCAAGCGGCGTTGCGGCTCTGGAAGAAGCTCAGCGACTTGGAGTGGATCTTTGCGTTTGTGACGCACCCGAACGAGAGCCTCCTCGTCGAGCCCGAGACACCCCCCAAGCCCCTGCTGCGCCGCCCAAGCACAACCAAAGAGACGCTGCATCGCATGTCGGCGCCGACGCTGTCGCCACTGCCCGCGCTCGCACCGATTGAAACCAAAGTGTCCATCAAGTTTACAGGTACACATTGTTCTCTTCATGCAGGACTCTATCTAAAGATGGCTAGAAAAACTCCACTCGATCCAAGCCAAGGTCGTCGAGTGGACCAAATGGTGCGTGAGCAGCTTGGACGAGGGCGTGCGCTGGGACAAGGCGCTCTTGGCGCAGTCGGCCCAAAACATCGAGTGCCTCCTCACGGTTGCCGACGGCCTTTTTGACTTTTTGGCGGTCGCGATGAAGGACAAGTGCGTCGAGTTTCGGTAGGTCAAATTTTGTGTTTTGCCGCTTTTTCAGCGAGGTTTTTCGATCATTTTTATATTTTCGTAGAAAGCACTTGGAGATGCAGGCCAAGGCTGTCGAGCGCAAGGACATGCTTCTCAAGCGATTTACGCAGCACCGCGAAGAGCACGTCAAGAAGACGCGCGCGCTACACTTTCGCGAGTGCTCGTACGGTCCCTGCTAGTACACTACGTTTAAACTTACAAATACTAGAAACGACTCGGGAGCTTGTGCTGTGTACACAATGACACAGTGTTTGATCGAAAAGACTAGAAAAAGAGAGCATTGATTATGTATCCGAGATGGCGCGAATGGCGCGGATGAGGTCGTGGAGGTCGACTTCGGTCGTGACGGCAATCACTCGGCGGCCTACACCACCATCATACGAGTATGTCAAGCGGCAAGGACTGTTGCGTACGGCCGTCGGGGGCGTCCAAGAGGTGGCGACGATGGACGTTGAAGATCGCAATCGGGTACGTGTCCTTGGGCGATGACGCCAACTCGGCTTTGGTGCATTTTTCAACCGTCGACGAGAGCAAAATGTGGCCTTTCGGGGATACGCCGTGCTTGGCATCGTCCATCGTCTAGCATGTATAACATCGCTAGATACCGCATCAATGGATAGTCGTGTCGTACGTTCCAGTACTCGAGCTTGCCGTTGCGAATCGCGGCGTACCGGTGCTACCGACACGACAATCTGAGATCTGAGTCACCAAGAATCTGGTCGTACGGCCCAGCCCACAAAGAGGTTTTCGCCGCGCTTCCAAATGTGGCCTGCCCAGTCGGCTTGGAGCTTGGCCTGCGCCGACGAGTGCTCCTTCTCGCGCAAATACGCTTGGTTTTCAAACCGAAACATCTAATGTCCAGTGGTCTACATCAATATAAACAATGCGTATCGGCGTACCTTTTGCTCGTCCATGTCGCTTGGAAACGTCGAGATGAAGTTCCAGACGCGAATTACGTCGCCGTCAATGAGCCGGCGGTCGCAGAGCCGATGGAACCGGTTCGTAAACTAGAGACAATAATATATGTACACTGAGTGGCACAACGGTCCTACCTTGCGCGTGATTTGATACACAACAAAGTACTTGGCCGGCACCACGGACGTGACAACGATCCCCAGCAGCACCGCGAGCAAGACGAGCGCCGTCTTGCGCGGGTGTGTCCACAGAAACACGTTCTTGATCTTCTCGAGGAGGTCGCACACTTTGCCGATCTCGTGCTGGATCGTACGCGCCACGTTGCGCGCCATGTGGTACTTCTCCACGAACGAGAGCGACTTGGCGTTCTCGATCTCCATGACCGAGTAGAGCGCTTCGCTCGCGAGACGCTCCTTCCAGCCCACGGGTTTCGTCGGGTCCCGGAGCGTGAGCTGCATCCGAACCGTTAGACTTGGCAATTCGTCGCCCTCGACGTCGGTTAACGGTGTATTGAGCAGGGGCATGGCACGCTCGACCTCGACTTGGGGCCCACCGACGCGACTGCTCGTCACAAGGTCCTTGATCGGGTAGCGTACTTGACCGAGGAGCTTTCGGCTCGTCATTGCGTTCTCCTGCACCACGTCGAGGCGGAGGATGCCCGGACAGGCCTCCCACGGCACGAGCTCTTCGAGTTCCGTGACGGGGTTGATGCGCACGGGCTGCAGAATCGGGTACTTGAAGGCGTGTAGGTCCACCGAGCCGTCGTCGCGCTTCCACGCTTCCTCCACGTCATGGAGGACAGCTATCAAATCGCTCCTTTACCCTGGTCGACACAGTGAGAAAAGGTTACCGTCCTTGGCGTGCGGACTCAGGTGGGTGAAGAGCTCTTTAAACCAATTGTTGTTGAGAAGACAAATGTCGCCCGCGTCGTCGCGGCCATACTCGGGACTGCGGCTCCCAAGCACCGAGTTGGTGCGCGCAACGAGGCGGGGCGGCAGCTCCTTAAAGTGCGGCTCGTAGTACAGCTCGACGTGCGTGTCGAGCGGCCGCAGCGCGTCCTTTTGCTTCATCTCGCTCCACTTGGCTTCGACCAGGTTGGCCGCGCACCGGGGCACAACGTGGAGCGTCGCGATCGACCGAAAGAGCTTCATTTGAATCTCATCCGGGTCGTACTCGGTCCACGTCCTCTGGATGCCGCCACCCGCGTAGCGTATATAGTTGCCAATCAAGAGCGCAGCGACGCCGAGAAGCAGCACGAGCGGAGCGTGCGACGTCGGAAAGTAGAGCACGCCGAGCGTCGAGCCGACCCAGAGGCTCAGCGTGAGCAGCGGGTTCCGCCATTCGAGGATCTCACGCATCTGCAGCTTGGCACTCTACCCGCGGCATTGCCATTCAGCAAACTGAACAAAAGGCCACGGACCTGGGCGACGCTAAAGAGCAAGTCGAGGCGCTCAATGTTGCGCTTGATGATGTCGCCCTTGAACTCGATTTCGTCCTGTCGCACGAACGTCGCGTCGTCGTGCAGCTCTGGTGAAAAGATCGCGCCGAGGTTCTCGACGTACTCGACTTGCAGCTGGACAAGGCCGACGTCGTCGTCGCCTTGGCGCAGCACGACCCACTCGAAATGCGGCGCTGGTGGCTGTCGGCCCGGCCCCAGAATCGGCGGCGGCGGGGACCACACGTGGCGCCGTGCGCCGGCGCGCTGGAGGATCTCAAACGTTCCGAGCGAGAGACTGCCATAGCGCACCTAGAAACACTCTGCAATGCATCGAAACGAATATGGGTGTGTACCGCCTGCTTGCCACTCTGGAGCTTGGTGAGGTTGGGCGTCGCCGCCAGCGCCATTGGCTTGAGGACTTCGAGACGCAGCTCCGAGTGGATGCTCTCGACGCTAAAGCGCTTCTTGTACACGACCGCCATGCCGTCGGGCGACCGCACGTAAATCTCCTTGACGTTCTCTTCGAACGCGACGCTCAGAACCGGGTCAAAGTCCGGGACGTAGACGAGCGAATGGCCGTCAAGCTTGGAGCACTGCGGGCCGCAGATGTGCAGGCCTTTGATGTGCAAGGAGAGATGGCCGCGCGGCGGCGGCTTGGCCAACGCCTCGGGCGCCAGCGCCGGCACTGGTTTGGTCTTCTTGGGTGGCCCCCGCGGCTGCAGGAGCGACGACGACGGTCGCACTTTTGCTGCGCTCGATGCCATTTCACTCACGGTCGGGTGAAAGCAGTACGAGAGCAGTAGCTTGGGCGCAGAGCCGTCGTCGTCGGCGTTGCCACTCGACGACTCGAGTGGTACCCACTCCTCGGTCGTCACACCCGCGGCGACAATCGCCCCCGAGACCGGAATCCGCGCGCGCCCGAGCGCTGGCGTCGGTGCGTCCAAGACGTGGACGCTCACGTCCAGCACCAGCGTTCGGAGCGCGCCGTCCGTGTGCTTGAGCTTCATGATCGTGTCCCAGCGCCCCGACGTACTGCCGTGCGTCGTGCTTATGCGCGCATACGGCTGCAGCTGGACCGAGACGGCGATGTGGCGCTGAAGCGTTGCTTCGTCGAGGCCTTCGGCGCGGAGGACCACAATCGAGAAGAGGCCGCAGCGCGACAGCTTTGCCTTCATGCTGCCGTGGACGAGCGACGCCATCCTACAATGCACTGGCTGCAGCCGATTCAGTTGAGATGCAGCTACGTACGACATGGCGCGCTCGCTCACGGACGGCGGGGCGGCCGTGTACGGGCGTGCTTCGAGCACGTCACCATTGGCAATGTCATCGCCGGCAGGGTTAAAGTAATAGAGATCTTATGCCATTCGATAAGGTACACAAAGATGGAAGGGACGTACCGCGGTTCGAGCGGCGGTGGCGGAGGCCAATGATCTCGTTCTTGTCGCCGCCATGCTCGATCTCGAACCGCGTCTGCGCTGCATGGACGAGCGTCTGGACATAGTCGATCGCTTCAAACTGGAGCACAATCTCCTTGGCCTTGACGACGACCGTGCACGTGAGCACTACGTGTCGGTTCAGCCTGCAGCGCATAGCTTACGAGTACAACGTACGCTGCGCCGGCGGAAGCAGCGCTGCGAGCTGCGGGCGGCGCAATGACGGGCTCTTGGGCTCCATGCTACTGCGGCCAGACAACCAACCCCACAAATGGTTTTTGTTGTCATCGGTTTCAGCGTCCGGTTTCACAAGGACACTTGCGGCGTCTGGTGGTGCTGCCAAGGTGCTCGACCACGAGCTCTTATCGCGTTAGCTCCGCCCTTGTGTCGACGGACGCCGTGCGAACCAAAGCAGCTCGACGCGCCGACGGCAAGGTACATGCTCTGACCAGTGTACTGGCCGTGACGGCCGTTGGGTTCGAAAATCGAAGCTGCTCGTGGAGACATCGATGACGTCGAGCACTCCAGCGGTTGACACGTCATGGCTCTCTTGGATGGCACACTGTGGCGACGGGTGCTGGACCGATACTTTGACTGCGTTGGCCGCCAGTGTGACGCTCTTTCGCGCAGTGACGCGCCGTATCTCGCCATCACCGCGCAGTACACGTCGTGCATCACCTCGTGCGCGGCCGCCGAGACGATCGCCACCACCAACGACATCCGCGACGAGCTCACTGCCATCGCTGCTCTCGGGTACGACGAGCTCGCTAGCGTCCGACGGTATCTTGCCGGTGACGACGACGCGTGGCCAGCGTCGCACCCTGCCGTCTACGCCGAGAACGCCAGGGTCCTCCCCACCGACTATTTTGTGCCATGGGAATCTCTCCTCGTACCAATTCCAGTCGGCAGCCTCCAGCTCTGGACAACAGCGACAGCGTATCTTGAAGCTTGTGTCGGCCACCGCAAGGACCAAGAGATCTGCGACGCACCGACCGTGCAGACCGTACTGCGGGCGTCGCGCAGAGTGTCGATCGTCGCCCCCCACATGGCGCCCTTCGCACCCCCCGGACACCCCAACACGGTCCTCAACCCTCTCGCCCATGTCGGTCCGCGCCATGTCTGCGTCGCCTCTCACGGGTCTCTTCAACTCTACAAACTATGGGGCGCCGACAACGACTGCGCGCCCGACGTCGTCGACGGCGGCCTTCCAGTCGAGTACCGTCGTCATCAACTCCCGCCCAATGTCTGGACCCTCGGGCCCATGGAGGCCAACGGGACCGAATGGCCCGCGCCGGCCGCCTACACGTACTGCGGCACCGAGCAGTACGCAGCGTATCTCGAGCGCGAGCTCTTTGGCGATTGCGCCATGGCGCCGGCGTCACTCCAGTGTTTTGTGTCGCTGTGGAGCCGGCGCGCCGACTGCATGGCATCGGTGCTGAACGTCCATCTACTGCTGTCGCACCGCCCCAACGCCTTTGTGGCGACGATCGGGCAGTCGGCCGGCGTCCTCACGGGTTTCTATCGCTGCGAACACGACATCTCGCGCGCATCGATCGCCCGAGGCGCTCCCAACGCGCTCACGACGTCGTCGCTGCTGCTGCAACGCCATGTCAGTGGCCTCTCCTTCACCGTCTGCATGGGCGGTAGTCTGCTCCTTCTGGCACTGCTCTTCGCGGTGCAGCGGTCTCGTCGTCGCCCCGTCGACGAGAATGACGTTTACCTTGCGCTGCTCTAACACTAGGTTTTATCTCTTACACGAATGAAGATTATGAATAAGGCTGCGTTGGTACTTTGAGGATACCCTAGCCCTGGTTGCGGCGGCGGGCGAGGATCGCAGCGAGCTCGCTGTTGACATTGCTGCCGGTGGCTGGCGCGGCCACTTCGCCAAACTGACGCACGTTGAGCGTCTTGTTGGACGAGCTCCGGCGAGTCGTGCTCTTCGCTTCCTTTTCCTGCTGCTTGCGCGCCTTCTTCTCGGCGACGCGGCGCAACCGATCGTCTTCGCGCTCTTTTTCGCGCTGGGCCTGGCGCGCCGACCGCTGTGCCATCTCGATCTCGCGCTCGGCGTCGCGCTTCTTCTGGCGCTCGCGCTCGCGCTTGCGGCGGGCTTTTACGTACTTGTCGGGCACGAGGTCGGACGCTGCGCCAAGTGCGTCGAGGCCCGTCGGCGTCGCCGTGACGCGAACGTCGGGGCCAGTTCCAAATGTAATGGGCATGGCCGGACTCGAACTCAGAACGGAGCTTGTCCGGAGCCGCACCTGCGTCTCAAAGTCGATCTTGATACTCGGGTTGGCGTGTACGAGGAGCACCGCGAGCTCCGTCTTCTTTTCGCAGAGCCACAGCTGATCTTCCATGACTTCGGTCGAGAAGAAGCCGACGACCGAGTCGACGACGCGCACGGGCGAGTAGTAGCCGCGGTCGGGCACGACGCAGAGCTGGCTGCACACGTCGGCGCAGTAGATGTTGCCCGTGAAGCGGCAGTGGTGCCGGCGCGTAAAGAGCCCAAATTTCTTGTGCGTCATCATGCACGCGGGTGCCGCCTTGTTTTCCTTCCAGTGGGAGGCGTCCGGCGTCGCTAGCACGGGCGGCGGCGTCATGCGTACAACGAGAAACGGGTCAGCGTTCGGACTCAGCACGAGCGACTCGATCGCTGCAAATGGAATGCGCCGGCGCAACGACAAGAACGGCGGCGGCTTGACGTCGGGTTTCACAGCCAAGGACATCGGACTCGCTTGCTCAAAGAGGTAGACGTACGCGGCTGTGACGACCAAGTGCCGCGGCAGACGCTCGCCACGCGCACCGACCTTTTCGATCGCGTCCCAAAAGAGGATCTTCTCCGGGTCGCCGTAGTAGCGCAAAATAGTCCAGACGCTATTGCGGACCTCGTCTTGACGGCAATAATCATTGTCGAACGGACGGTACAGACTCACCTAATCCCCAACGCCTTTCTCAAAATCGATGGACGCACAAACAAGAACGTACCCGCTGGCGACCCTTGCCCTTGGCGTTGTAGAGCTTGGCAATGTCGGCAGCGAGCGAGAGCAAGTGGCGCCGCCCCGCGTACTTGACCCACGCCCGCTGGATCTTGACGACGTACTTGCCGAAGGTCGCGTCGCGGAGCTGCTCGAGTGCAAAGTACGTCTCTGGCGTCCGAATGAACACCATGCTCTTGCCCCACTGCACCTCGTCTTTGAGCGCCGGAATCGACTTGATGGCGGCCTTGACAATGGCTTTGGCGCCGTGGGCGTCCGAGCCGGCAAAGTCGGGCGACGTCTCCTTCGAGAGCCACTTGAAGCGGTCGAGGAACCGGCCATAGTCACCGCGGTACGCATACCCCGCGCGGCGCACTTTGACGTTTTCGAGGAGCCCGAGGTACTGGATCTGGTGCAAGACGCGCTTGTCGTCGACCGAGTTGGGTTGCTTGTGGTCGTTCGACTTGATGCAGCGCACGTAGTGGGGCTGGCATTCCATGAGCGCCGTCACGAGCGCCGCGCACTGTGTGCGGATCTTGGTGCCGGCGGTCACCGCTTTCGCGTCGAGGTCGATGGACCCAAAGAGGTACTGGAGGAGCTTGTTGCTGCTCTGGCCGAGAAGACTCTGAATGTCTTTGGTCAAGCTCTCCTTGTTGGCCTCGCCGAACCCGAGAATGTTGTACTGCACGTTGCCGGCGTAGTGCTTGATCTCAAAGACACGGCCGCGCTTGGAGAAATGCGGGTGGCCTTTGTGGATCGTCGAGAGCTTGTCGAGGAAGGTCGCGTCAACACTGTCGCCTTGGCGGCTGTGCATCGTCTTGATCGTGTCGTCAAGAATGAAGAAGATGCCGGGCGGGGTCCGGGCTTCAATGAGGTCGCAGACCACCTTGTTGTTGAAGAACGGAATCGGCGTCCACGCGATCCTAGCGCCTACTGTCTAGCAACAGAAGCGAGAGATTCGTTCGTACCCTTCGCGCGCGTACTCGGCTTGCTCCGACTGCAGCGTGAGCTCGATGAAGATTTGCTGCAGCTTTTCGTTGACGTAGTTGATACAAAACTGCTCAAACCCGTTCAGGTCAAAGATCTCAAAGCCGTAGATGTCGAGAATCCCGATACTGCTCGCGTCCGACCGCTCCATCTGCTTTTCAATATCCAACGCATGGTTGACGCGCTCGACGAGGAAGTCAAAGAGACTCTCGTAAATGTGCTTGGCGATCGCGTCGCGCTGGCTCCGAGCTTGGTCCGGGTTCTGCGGCACCTCGTAGCTCTCGACCTTCCCGCCCTACTCATCGGCTTAGCCTCCAAGTTCCTCGATTTTGAATACCTACCGGTGCCATGGTGTGCAGCCACTTGTAGCTGAACGCGCGCTCCAACGCTACTGCGTCCAGCCCCAAGAGCGCGCAGGCAAAGTCGAGACTGCTGCGCGCGTCGGCCCGGAGCCGCGACCCCTCGGCGTCCTTGACTTGGAGCGGTTCGAAGTCGACGTTGCCGAGGTGCAAGAGAGCTGCGATCGTCTGCACGACCAGCTCGATCTGCTTCTTCTTGATGCCGACGTGCTGCATGGCCGTCATGGTCGCCTCAAACTCGGCGACGTCGTCCAGGTCGTCGATCACAAAGCAGTTGGAGACCTTGAGGTACGCATAGGCACTGGGCGACGCTACGAGACCAAACTTGGACCGGGCGCCGTCCGGAAGGCCTGCGAGCACTTGGTAGAAAATGTGAAAGTTCCGCTCGGCCTTCCCGGGTTTGACGACGCGGGACTTTTCGAGGAGGTAGTTGGTCACATGGCCGCCTTGGGGCCGCCCCGCCGCGTCAAAGAGGAGCTCAAAGTACTTGCCAAAGCGTGACGAGTTGTTGTTGCGCACCTAAAATAGGCGCTCGATGAGGCGACGCGCATGTGCTGGCGGTCGTACGGTCTTGGCGTTGCCAAAAGCTTCGAGGAGCGGGTTGGACTCGAGGAACGTGCGCTTGATCTTGTCGACACCGGCGCCGCTGCCCGAGATGCCAGCAATGTAGTTTTGGATCTGCTTGGAGGCTTCGGTCTTGCCCGCGCCCGACTCGCCCGAGATGATGACGCACTGGTTCTCTTCTTCGCGGACCATGGTCCGGTACGTCTCTTCGGCGGTCGCAAACACATGCGGTGGCACGTCGATGCGCTGCTTGTGCGCGTAGTACTTCATCGTGCGCTCGCCATAGATGTCGAGCCACTTGTACGGGTTGACGCACACCAAGACGTGCCCGATGAAGGTGTAGATCTGGTCGCTGCCGTGGCGCGCCTTGAGGTTCTCGAGGATCCCAGTGTCCGAGACCGACGGCAGCAGCACCATGTCGTCGACGCCCACGACCCGGCGCTCGACCTCGAGGGCCGCGCCGCGGCTGCGCGCCTTCGTCGCCTTGCTCATGCTGCTGAGGATGATGCTGACTGAGGCCGGCGCCACGTTGCACACGGCCCGCTGAACGCACGCAACCTTCGGGATCATCGGCTAGGTGCACGCAACCTCGGTTGCGGAAGTCCGTTGTCGCCGCTCAGCGCTGCGCCACCCTAGCGCTGCTTCCTGGGGCGTCCGTGTTGGTTTGTCTGCATTGAGCAGACATGGTATGAACTTGCTGTAGAGCTTCGTAAGACGAGACACGAGCCCGACGCCAAGTATACCCTAGCCCTGGTTGGGCGGGTCGACCGAGATCGCTTCCGACGCGCGGGTGGAGCCTGTGATGGAGCAGCCACATGCAACGCGATGGACCTCAAAGAATGGAGTACTAGGCGAATGGTGCAGGGATATCAGTGCGTTCGGGTTCGAGTTCCGTTGCCACAGCTGCCGGACCTCCGTCCTGGGTGAGTTGCGTGTATTTAGTCGGATCATTCGGTCGTTTTTTCGGATTGTGCGATTTTCCGGCAAGATAAACAGCTTCATGGCGGTCCCGTTGAAGAAAGGGCTGCAGCTCAAGCAGTGGGTCCTTGGCGAGAAGCTCGGCAGCGGCGCCTGCAGCGATGTGTACGAAGGTAGACCGTGCTCCTCGCGTGGCATGGGGAGAACGACGTGGGCGTAGTCGCACCTCTCAAGGGCAACGGCGGGCAAAGATATGCCATGAAGGTCTCGCCGATCCCGGCGCCGACAGTGGGCAAGAAGAAGCGCAAAAAGACGCACGCAGACCGCAGCGCCGATGCGCTCTACGCCGAGCACTTGCTGTACGTCAACAGCCTTGCCGGCCATGCGGGAATCCCGACACTGCCAGCCACTGGTGCGTACGGCGAGGACAAAGGATATCGCTTCCTCGTGCTCGAGCGACTCGGCCGTACGCTCGAAGACGTCAAGGTGGCGCACGGCCGACTGCCAGAGATAAGCGTCGCCCGTCTTGGCCTCGAGATCGTACGACGCGCCGTGCTTGCTCGCGCCTCACGGGTTGTAGATGGCGATTCTCCAGCACATTCACTCGAAGCGGCTCCTCTTTGTCGACGTCAAGCCCGAGAACTTTATGCTCAACACGGCGCCCGAGACGACAGTAGCTTCGCCATGCATATCGGCCGGACACGCAACCACTGCTGTAGGTCTACTGCGTCGACTTTGGCATCGCCGAGCGCTTCCTTCTCGTCACTGGCGCCCACAAGCCGTTCAAGACGGGCGGTGTCGTCGGGACGCCGACTTTCCTGAGCGTAAACTGCCACGAAGGCAGCAGTACGTTCTCATCTCCTTGACTCGAGTCCCCTCGACTCCACCATCCTTGTTGCATAGCCCCGAGCCGTCGAGACGACATTGAGGCGCTTCTCTACGTGTGCCTCTACCTCGTGCGCGGGGACCTCCCGTGGCAAGGCGCCGCGTCCGACCAAGACGGCGCGCGGCTCAAGCGAGCGACGGCGCTCCCCGACCTCTGCCGTGGCTTATCTCGTACGCTTGCTGGCCAAGGTTGCAATGCCTCACTCTTCTTCTCGATAGCCGAGTGGTCCAAGCTCGTGACGTTGATCCGAGCGTGTGGCTTTGAAGACGCTCCCGACTATGCTGCGATCGAAGACGGCCTCGCACGCATTTGCGGGTCGACGTCGCGCACGGGCACCTATGCCTGGGGCGCGCATACAACAGCAGCAGCCACCACGACAGCCTCCGCCAAGGGCCGCCCGTCGCCCGCCAAGAAGCAGAAAGGACAGACACGCAAGACACCCGTCGTCATCGACGACGACGACGACGAGTCGTTGGAGGAGGCGCCGGCTCCAGCCAAAGCCAAAGCCAAAGCCAAGGCCAAGCCCACGAAGCGCACGGTGGCGCCAGCCAAACATTCACCTCCCGCCGTGTCAACGCGTCGTCTGGAGGCCGCGACGCGGGCTGTGGGCGCAGCGGCGGCGGCCAGTGCGGCATCTGGCATTGCGACGCGCACACGCTCGTCGGGCCCAAGCGCCAGCTCGAGTGTCGCATCCTAAGTTCTAAGACCGCTTATGTCGGCGCGAATAGCATGCCTTGCGTGTCTCCTCGATAAGGGGCAAACGAGCTCGATGTTGAGAGCTTACGCGAGGTAGTTGTACAGTTGCGTGTTGGACGCGTCGCGCTCGAGGTACTCGCGGTCGATGAGGCTCTCGATGCGGCGCTTGATGTCGACGGGTTTCGCCGGAAATTTGAGCTGCGTGAGGAGCTCGCTCATGAGCAGCGCATGCGAGAGCTGCTTGCGCGACTTCATGATGCGCACAATCGCCGCGTCCACTTGGTACTGCCGGTCGCGGAAGACGCGTTCGTGCGTCTCGGTGTTTTCGGCCGTTGTCTCCTTCATCTGGATCGAGTTGATCTTGATGCGCATGAGCGGGTTCGTAAAGGCCGCATTGTAGACAAACTCGTCCGTGTCGGCCACGTCGCGACCCTATTACACGCTGCCAAGCTGCAAGCAATATACGAGGCCTACCTTGGGCTGCTTGGTGAGCACGCGGACCTTGCCGCACGCAAGGGACTGCAGCGTTCGCCGCAGCTCGCCGTCCTCGATGCCCGTCTGCTCCTTGATCTCGTTGAACCCGAGCGTGTCACGACCAGTGTTGAAGCTGAGTAGTACGAGCGTCTGAAACACCGAGACGGCGAGCTCCTTCCGGCCTTTCGGAAACGACGCTTTGACGAGGCAGTGGCCGAGCGAGTGCTGCCATTGGAGCTGCCGGCCCTGGTACTTGGACGTGTAAAAGGCTTCAAAGATCGCCTTGAGCGGCAGCAGCGACTGCGGCAGGATGATCTCGGTCGGCACGTACGCCGGCCAAAAGCCGGTCGTGAGCACGTGCACGTGCATGTCCATCTTGTGCTTGAGGTTGCTAATCGCGAGTCTACGTCCACCGTCGATGATGAGTCACGCGTTCTGGTCCGACGTCAAACGCACTGGCTCGCGTTGTGCTGCTGAAACTGCGTCATGACACTGCGCGAGAGGTCAATGTCCTTGAACATACCTTCAAGCTACATATACATCGTCGTCATCCCATGCAAGAGCGCAACGTTGCGAGTACCTTGTTGGTGAACGAGCTGCCGCACTCGGTCTTGAGCTTGGAGATCATGGCTTTCTCCAAGTCGAACGAGGCCGACTTGCCGAGAAGCAGTCGCTTCGCAAGATCCTTCTTGTAGAACGCCTCGAAGACATCCTTGCCTTGGATGTAGCGGAAGAGCACCATGAGGCGGTCGAGGAGCGCTTCAATGTCGCGCTCCGACCCGTCTTTATTGCCCGTCTTGAGCTTGGCGTCCACAAACTTGGCAATGAGCTCGGCCGGGCGGCTCGCTTTCGCGTTGACTGCCGACTCCATCGCCGACTTGAGGGCATGCACAAACGTCGTCTCGCTGTGGAAGGCGTCGCGCAGCATGACGTCCAGGTCGGATTTGAGCTGGAGGAGGCTTGCGACCATGCCCTTCTCGAGCTCGAGGCTGGTCGGACTCGTGTCGTTGACGATCTTGGCGCCGGTCGCGATGATGTACTGACTCCAGCTGGCTTTCAGGAGCGGGAGCTGCTCGATGCGCTCAAAGAGGCTGAAGAGGCGCTTGAGGTCGTCGATGCGGTGGCCGGTTGCGAGCTCTTCGAACCCGCGCTCGAGGAGGAGTGCGGCGTGGGGTGCGAGCAAGTGGGCCTCGACGACGTGCAGGATCGCCTTCTTCGTCGTCAAGTTGTTGTCCATGTAGCCCGTCGCGCGCTCGTTCTCTTCCGTCAGACGCTTCTCGACATGCAAAAGGAACGACGCGACGCTGCCGTCTTCCATGTGCTGCTGGCCTTCGGACGCGTAAAACACCTCGGCCGACGCCAAGAACGGCCGCTCGAGATGCCGGCCGTAGATCGTGAGCGCCGATGTCATGCGCACGAGCGACTTGAGGTGCTGTCGCTGGACCGTCTCGCCATGGCGCTCGCGCTCGACTTCGCGCAAAAACGATGTTGTGATCTTGGCCTCGAGCGCCGGAAGCACATGCAGCGCCTCCTGGAAGCACGCGAGGCCCATGTCGTAGATGGACGCGACGCCCGGTGTTTGCATGACGTACGTCCGATCCAGATAGAGGCAAAGGTTGCGGATCATGAGCAAGTCGGAGCAGAATTCTTCCCAGAGACCCACGAGCTTCTCGACAAAGAGCGCGCTGTCGACCTGGAGGAGGCCGAGGTCGTCGTCGGCGCACGCCGACTGCAGCGTCTTGTCGACCGTCATCGCGAGGTGTGTCTTGAGGAGGCCGTAGAGCCACGCGGCCTTCTTCTGGTGGCAGAGGTCCGTGACGAGGCCGTAGAGCTCTTCCCAGCCTAGCGTCGTGTTGGCCGCGGTCGCCGACTTGTTCTGGAGGCACATCAACGAGGCCTGCAGGTCCTTCCATGCGCGCTCCTCGAAGCCGTCCGGGACGCTCGGCGCCTGCTTGAACGGCTTGATCGAGACCTTCCTTGCCTTCTTCATCGCTGGCCGCAATTTGTATGGCAAGCCGCAAGATGCAATTTTAATCCCATGTTTTATGTTGCATAGTGTTTCTCAGTGTAGCATCAAAGAATTCGTCCCAGCCTGGCATTCCGCCATCGTCAAGACCATGCAAGTGGCCGCCACATCGACCCTCGCGCCGGCCATCCTCGGACGCGCCGCCGTAGCAACCGCCATATAGGTGCGACCGCCGTACTATTAAAAGTTAAGCCACGTGAGCGCGCACACGGCGACGGTCGCGGGCGACGGGAGGAAGTCCTCGATCGAGCCCCACGAGTTGGCGTCATGGTACAGAAACTCCATGCTCTTCTTGAGCGACGGGTGCAGCACCTGGCCGTGGCACTCGAAGAGCCACATGACAATGGCCCACGTAGCGCACGCGAGCACGGGGTAGACCTCGGGGAATGCATAGTCACGGAGGATCGGGGCGCCTCTCGCGCTTAAGAGCTTGACGAGGCCGATGAGGACGCGCGAGAAGAGGTACATGACGATCTGGTAATTGACGTTCGAGTACTTGGACCAGATCGCGTACCTAGACACAGTCCTCGATGCATGATTTTGGGCTAGGCCATGTACCCGCCGATCGCGCCGGCGGCCGCCGCGTGCCATGGCACGACCGGGTTCAAGCCCGCGCTTGGCGTCGTCGCGCCGCCATGCATCGCCTTGAGCACCAGCAGCGACGCCTTGTAGACGCCGACAAAGCACGCCAAGTTCTTCGTGTGCTCGTACGTGAGCTTGATGATCGCGCGGAGCTGGTCGCGCAGCGGTTTCTTCTGGAAGAGCAGCACCATGACCAGCGCTATCCACCGCAGCATTGTCGGCCGCTCATGGCCAGTGTCTCGTACCGTGGGGCGCGCGGATCTTGGTGCCATAGAAGGCGCCGTTGCGGACTGCGCGCACGAGGCAGAGGACGTCGTGCGGGATCAGCGTGCTCATCATCTTCGCCAGGAGCAACTCTGGTGCTTGGCTCACTTGCCCATTGGGATGGTATCCGTACGATCCTCCACCGTATCCGGATCGCCGGCTCCCAAATGGTCCGGGGGGTGGCATTTGGTCGACGAACGTGAGTTTGAAATCGAATCGCCCATACTCGACACAGCGATAGAAGACGCTTTTGGGTGCAGAGCAAACCGCGTTGCGTCGTCGCTACAGGCCTAGGACGCGCGCAATGCTCGACAATACATACAAAGCGCTCTAAAAACGTTTAAAAGCAAATGCTGCAGCGACGATCACACTGGACCAAGAGCGGTACTATCAAGGAGCATAATTTTATGCTCCTTGCTACTATACAACGCCCAGAGCCGCTGTCTTACGTGATAGGGACGGCTTTTGCGCTGCCAAGGCCCGGATTGTCCGCCCTCCAGTGACACCGAAACTCAGACACTCGCACACAGACGAGATGCCGAAGATCGGGCACTCGCACACAGCGAGATGCACGTACATGCTAGCAACTACACCGCCTCTTCTGGTACAGCTTTCGGGAATAAATTTGCTGGCGCTATCTTCGCGCAAGTATTCGAGAGCGGATCGCAAAGTTCCCCCACAGTTTCCGTCAACGTGGGAATCGACGAATGAAGACTTTGTCTGACCAACCGCGTTGATTGTTACCATCTCGCCGCTTAATAGCAGCGCCAGTGGCAGACACGTCCGTGGACCCCCGTCGTGCACACGTTGCGGCACAGCTCAAACTCGCCGTTCGGGTCCGGAAGGCCACCGGGTGCGGCTTCGTTCTTGGTCGTATCAACGTCCGGGGCAGCGGCCGCAAAGACACTGAGCAGCGTCATCAGGATCATCGTCTTGAGCATTGTAGCAGAGGTGGGCAATTGCAAAGTGAGCTCCAAACGCTCCATGGGGAGAGCGGTGAGTGCAGGTAGCGAGCGAGTGCTTTGACTGTTGCCGAGAAATGCGCGCACTTTGATGTCGACAGACGCGAAGCCATCGCCGCCTGGAATCGCATGCCTCCTTGCCGAGCTGAACGATGCCAAGATGCGAGGCGTCCGTGTAGCGTGTACTTGCCGATGTCGACTCGCTAGTATTGGCGTACAGGACGTCGCCAGCGCCTCTCGAAGTGCAGGACGTCGCCAGCGCCTCTCGAAGTGCAGGACGTCGCCAGCGCCTATCGAAGTGACGGCCAAGTGGCGCGGCGACGTCCTTGAGCTCGTCGACCCCGATCTGCCGACGCTGATGCTATGGGATAAAACCTCCAACACTATGACTCTTGAGAGCTACGTCAACAATATTTGTTTCTACAACGAAGCCGGGTACGCTGCGCTCACCGACTCGCTTCGGGTGGCGCGCCCCCTCTTGGATGTGGTGCAGGACCTTGACGGCGACGATGCCTCGCCGCACCGACTCCCGCCGGATAGCACCTCGATCAAGGCACTGCGCAACGCGCGCAACCTCCCACTGGGCGCAAAAGTCTCGGCCG